AGGAGATTTACCAGGATGTTGCCTGGTATGGAGGGAAGGTCTTATGAGGAAAGGCTGAGGGTCTTGAGGCTGTTTTCGTTAGAGAGAAGAAGGTTAAGAGGTGACTTGATAGAGACATACAAGATGATCAGAGGATTAGATAGGGTGGACAGTTGGAGCCTTTTTCCTCGGATGGTGATGGCTAGCACGAGGGGACAAAGCTTTAAATTGAGGGGTGATAGACATAGGACAGATGTCAGAGGTAGGTTCTTTACTCAGAGAGTAGTAAGGGCGTGGAATGCCCTGCCTGCAAAAATAGTAGACTTGCCAACTTTAAGGGCGTTTAAATGGTCATTGGATAAACATATGGATGATAATGGAATAGTTTAGGTTAGATGGGCTTCAGATTGGTTTCACAGGTCGGCGCAACATCGAGGGCCGAAGGGCCTGTACTGCACTGTAATGTTCTATGTTCTATGTTCTATGTTCTATAGCAAGCTGAAATTGCAAATCTCTAGGCTTCAATTCCCAATTTTTACTGAAGTGGAAGTAATAACATTTATAGTGTTATGATCCTAATTGATGGCTCCGCTGGACAAAGCAGATTCCAGACGAAAACCTAGCTTGATAGATCATAAGTTTTATTTTTACAGTTTGGTTACCATGATAGTTAGTTACTGAACATATTCACACTAGATTTACAATCTTCTTTAACATAGAACACCAGTTTATTTCTTCATACAAATAAACTTTATAAAGTGGTTTAGAAAGATCTTAAGTCAAAATAAAGAGAGATTCAGCTCTTTTCCTGGCAATACCCTTTGAGTACTCAATTTCCATTCTGGATGGTCTAAAGATTTCTTTCTTGTTCTTCTTCAAACTAATCCACCATTCTAATATAAAGCTGTTCTTTTCAATTTACTAGTGGCTCCTCATGATTTGCTTTTTCCATGTATCATAAAACTCAGCGTTGTACACATTCCATCAATTAACTTCTTGCTCGGCATTTTACCCAAGTCATATGATTTCTTGGAAATCGTGCATTTCATTCACATTTCCAAATAACTTTTCTTTTTTATAAAAATACGTTACATTCACAGAACTGAAACCACATGTCTATTTTTCCTGTACTTCAAAATTCAAATTCCTAAATAATTATAGCATATTATGCACGTTTATCACAGTTAAGTTTTGTCTTCAAGTGCCGTTACCATGCCTTCTTTATCATTTACTTCACAGATCATGCTCGGCAAATTACCAAATCCATGATGAGAAAACCAACTATTGATCGACTTCTGACCAACAGGGAATCGGATATTCAAAATTTTGTTAATTTCATCAGTAAAGATTCCATTCAGAAGTCTCTCCAACTGTACTTGGAGATGCTAAAACAAAGAAAAAGCTGAGTAAATGTGCTCTTAAAAAGGAATCCCAACATATTTGTTTACATGGTATGATGGATAATAATTTCTACGATTTTTGTACAATTTCTCTTTCAGTTGAATATTATTAACATAGAGTATTGAACATTGTTTATAGTGTTCTAAATTGACTTTGTAAATGTATCCATTTATATCCTAACTCTTTGTAATATTAAACTTGAAGATGTGTAATTCTGCTGCCAATATCTTGGCAGAGTTGATTGTGCAATTTAATCTGGGATAAGAAATTGTTTCGGTGCATTTCTTAAAGTAATCTCCAAATGTGTCCTTTACTGATTTAATTTAATTTAGATCATGAGATTCCTATACTGAGGTGTTCATCAAGTTATTTTTGTTGCAGACCTAAATGTTGTTTACATTTCTGTTTTATGGAGTTCTTTAACAAGCATCTTTCAAATGAATTGCTTACAAAGAACAAATTACGGTGAGCTAGGACTACATTCAAATGTTTTTACAGTATAAATTATGCTATGAATTGAACATTTCATACCAATATTGTATTTGAAAATTCATGAATGAAGTGGGGGGGATTCTTGAGAAGATATAACAACAGTTCAAAAAATGTGATAGCAGAAATAGTTGAAGGAATAACATGACAAAATGATACACAGCAATTGCTTTCATTTAGTTTTGTACTGTTTTAATGTCTAAAGATCTGAAATTAATTTACAAGGACATACGGAAAAAGTGAATACTGAGACATGATTAGGGAGATGTGACCAACCCTTGGTCAAGCGATGCTTTTTTAATAAGAGCCTTATTAAAAGGCCAGGGAAGTGGAGAGTTTCGCATAGAATTATAGGTTATGAGAACAAGATGCTGAATGGCGGCAGGGAGGGGCTGGTGAGCAAAACAGAAGATACACTGTTCTGGAGTTATTTAATCAGCCATGGAATTAATTAAATAGCTCTAGCTATGTTGGTCAATGAACTATTTAAAAAGAAATAGATGCTTCAGGATATTGTAATCATAGATAAGTTAGGGACAATGAGAAAAATGAGGTAAAAGTTCAAATCTTTTGGAGAGTGAGTCAATGCTGGCTATTACAGACAATGTGAGAAGTAAATACAGTATTAGTCTGGGTTAAATAGTAATGAGGCAGGGAGTTTGAGTCCTAATGTGATTGTGCATTACGATCAAAAAGTAACATGCTTTAAGGAATATTAATTCAAAAGCAGTAATAGAAAACAAGAGGCGGTATTGAAATTACAAGCAACGTGGAACAAAAATATATCCACTTAAGAAACATGCAACCATGAAGACCACAATAGCTAACTAAAGGATATAATCTGATAAACAACTATGCAAGTTTGAAGCATTAGGCTTTAGTGGCAATCTGCTGTGCTGGAGTTAAAACTGGCTGGGAGTAGTTGTAGATGAACTTGGATTTTCTTGAAGGTTGATCCAGAAAGGTTTAATGTTCAGATGATTCACTTCACTTATTAATGCTCAGCAACATTGCCATTCTGGTAGCCAATGCTTCAATTTTAAAATGTTCATCCTTGTCTTCAAATTCCTTCATGACCTTATCACTCCCTACCTCTGTAATCTCCTTCAGTCCCACAACCCCTTGAGATATCTGAGATGCTTCAAATATGTGTTGTTGCACTTCTCCTGGGGGGTGTTTTGATTTCTCCACCATTGGTAGACATGCCTCCAGTTGCTTAGGTCCAAAGCTCTGAAATTCCCTCTCCAAGATCTCTCTACCTCGCTTCCTTCAGTAGACCCTAAATTCTATTCGTTGATAAGGTTTTTGGTCACTTATCCGAAGTCTCTTTATATGGCTTGATACCAAATTCTCTTTGATAAATCTTAAAAGAAGGACTGGTGGGATGTTTTACTTTCATTCGTTGAATGGCTATAAGCATTGCTGCCTATGTCAGCATTTATGGCCCATCCCTAAATGTCGTTGAGAAGGTGGTTGTTAGGAAAGTAGTTCTAGGAATTTGACCCTATGGCAGTAAAGAAATAGCGACATAGTTCCAAGTCACGATAGTGTGTGGCTTGGAGGGGAAATAGCAGATGATGCTGCCCCTTCTCTGATGCTGCCCTTATCCTTTTAGGCAGGAGTGGTCACAGATTTGGAAGCTTAATGTTCCTAAATGCAAGTTGCTATTTCAATGCTCATCTGGAATCACAAAGACAATCTTGATGCTAGCCAGTGTTTACAAACTCTCATGTCTCTCTGATTTGAAATTATTGGCTGGTGCTGAGACATTGCTTGTTTGCATTCTGGGAGTGGACTTCGTAGTCAGCATGGCTGTGAAGAGTATCATGGAAGAACCTGCTGTAGTGAACAGTTAGCCCCAAGCATTACATTACTGTAGTATTTCCATCCTTCCCTCCCTCCCTGTAATCAAACAAAAAGGAAAGGCAAGGTTCAGAGGAAAAGAAACACAACGTCGAGAGAGGATGGTTGGCAGCAAGTGTTCGAGCGAGTAAAGGAGCACGAGCCTAAGCAGTTTATGGAAGCTTGTTGGTGAGTAACAAGTAAGTTTTGAGAAATTGTTATTGGAGTGGAGAGCATCAGAAGCAAAAATAAAGCATATGACATTGTAAGGATTAATTAAGTTAAAGGGTTGAGATATGGCAGGAGAGCTCCAAATCATAATCTGCTCCTCCTCAATGTAGGAAGCCAGGCAAATTTCCAGTGCCCACGACCTGCATGTGTGCAAGAAGTGTCTCCAGCTGCAGCTCCTAGAAACCAGAGTTTGAGTTGGAGCAGAGTCTGGGGACACTATGGAACATTCACATGGCGGAGAGTATCATGGATAGCACATAAAGAGAGGTGGTCACACTACAGATTCAGACTCCACAGGCAGGAAGGGAATGGGTGACCACCAGGCAGAGCAGGAAGGCTAAGCAAGCAGTGCAGGAATCTCCTGTGGCTGTTCCCTGCAAAACAGAGATACTGTTTTGGATTCTGTTGACGGGAACGGCTTCTCGGGATAACAGCAACATCCAAATTCATGGCACCGTGGTTGGCTGTGCTGCAGAGGGAGGAAGAAACAGGCATAGAAATGCTCCAGTTATAGGGGATTCAATCATAAGGGGAATGGATAGGTGTTTCTGTGGCTGCAAACGAGGGTACAGGTTGCTATGTTGCCTCCCTGGTGCTAGGGTCCTGGAAGTTGGAAAACATTGTGGAGGGTGAGGGTGCATGTTGGTATTAATGACATGGGTTTGATAAAAAGGGATGAGGCCCTAAAAGCAGAAAATAGAGAACGAAGAAGAAAATTGAAATGTAAGCCTCAAAGGTAGTTATCTCAGGATTACTACCAGTGCCATGAGTTAGTCGGAGTAGAAACAGCAGGATATATAGAATGAACACATGACTGAAAAGATGGTGTGAGGGTAAGTGTTTCAGATTCGTGGGGCATTAGGACCAGCTCTGGAGGAGGTGGGACCTGTACAAACTGGACAGGTTACACCTGGGCAGGACTGGGACTGATATTGTTGGGGAGGGGGGGGAGACGGCACTTGATAGACTGGTTGGAGAGGGTTTAAACTAGTGTGGCAGGGGGATTGGAACCAGAGGAGTAGGGCAGTAGATGCAGAAATTGAGGGAGAGGTGGAAACCAGGGCAGACATGATTAAGAACAGGCAGGGAAATGCTGTTCAAGAGTGCAGGGGGAAGTGTTCTGAAATGCATGTGTTTCAATGCAAGAAGTATAATTGGCAAGGGAGATGAACTCAGAGCATTGGTTAGTACTTGCAACTATGACATTTTCGTGATTATGGAGACTTGGCTGAAAGAGGGACAGGACTGGCAGCTGAGTGTCCCAGGATTTAGACGTTTCAGGTGTGATAGAAAAAGATGTAAAAGGAGTGGGGGAGTTGCATTACTGGTGAAGGAGTTTCTCACAGCCATACTGAGGGAGAATACATCAGAGGACTTGTGCAGCAATGCAGCATAGGTAGAACGCTGGAATAGGAAAGGTTACATCACAATGCTGGGGTATGCTGCAGGCCTCCCAACAGTCAGCAGGGGATAGAGGAGAGAATATGTAGACAGATTTTAGAAAGATGTAAAAACAGCATGGTTGTTGTGGTGGGTGATTTTAACTACTCCTCCCACCCTGCCCCATTTGACTGGGACTGACTTCATGCTAGGGGCTTGGATGGGGCAGAATTGTAAGGACCATTCAGGAGAGTTTGTTGACACAATATGTAATCGGCCCAACCAGGGAAGCGGTTATACTGGACCTAGTTTTGGGAAATGAGCTCAACCAAGTGAGTGAAGTTTCAGTGGGGGAGTGTTTTGAGACTAGTGACCATAATACCGTGAGTTTTAAGATAAGGTTTTGGAGTAGATCTGTAACTTGGGTTGTGGGTGTTGAGGTTGGTTGGCTTGCTGAGCTGGTTTGTTGTTTTGCAGACGTTTCGTTCCCATGCTTGGTAACATCCTCAGTGCAGCCTCTGATGAAGCGTCGGTGTGTTTTCCCACCTGGTTTTTAAACTCTGGGGTCCGTTGAGGTGGTTTGCCTCACTTCCGGTTTTCCTTCGTAATGGAATGTATATGGAGTTCAATGTGTTTATTAATAGCATGCTTTGTGGACTGCCATGCTTCCAGGAATTCTCATGCTTGTCTCTGCCTAGCCTGTCCCTGGATCTTGGTGTTGTCCCAGTTGAAGTCATGGTTCTCCTTGTCCATGTGGATTGAGATGAGTGAGTTTTAAGATACTCATGGATAGGGATAATAGCAGTCCTCAGGGGAAGGTGTTAAACTGGGGGAAGGCGAACTATAACAATATCAGGCAGGAACTGGAGAGTATTGATTACAGGCAGCTGTTTGAGGGTAAATCTGCATTGGCCATGTGGCAGTATTTCAAATAGCAGTTGATAATAGTACAGGGGCGGCACATTCCTGCAAGAATGAAGGATAGGTGCGGCAAGTTATGTGAACCTTGGATGATCAGGAATGTTATGACCTTGGTCAGAAAGAGAAAGGAAGCATACGTAAGGTCTAGGAGGATGGGAACTGACAAAGCCCTGAAATACATAAGGGTAGGAGTTAAAAGGGGTCATGAAAAGTCGTTAGCAAACAGGATTAAGGAGAATCCCGAGGCTTTTTATACATATGTAAAGAGGGAAGAGGTGGGCCCACTCGAGGACAAAGGAGGATATGTATGTGCGGAGCCAGAAGAGGAAGTTGAGTTCTTAAATGAATACCTTGTATCGATATTCACCAAAGAGAAGGAATTGATGGAGGATGATCTCTGAGAAGTGAGTGTCGAATTTCTAAGCCAAGTTGTTAACTAGAAAGGAAGAGGTGTTATGCATCTTAAAAAATATTAAGATTGATAAGTCCCTGGGGCCTGATGGGATCTATCTCAGAATATTGAGGTATGCAAGAGAACAAGTTGCTGGAGCATTGACCGACATCTTTGTATCCTCTTTACCCATAGGTGAGGTCCCAGAGGACTGGAGAATAGCCAATGTTGTTCATTGTTTAAAAAGGGTAACAGGAATAATCCAGGAAGTTACTTGCCTGTGAGGCTCACCTCAGTGATAGGGAAATATTGGAAAAGATTCTCAGGGATAAGATCTATAAGCATTTAAAAGCAAATGGACTGATTAGTGATAAACAGCATCGTTTTGTGCGGGGGAGGTCATGTCTCACTAACTTGAACAATTTTTTTTGAGGAAGTGACAAAGGTGATTGAGGGAAAAGTGATTAATGTTGTCTACATGGACTTCAGTAAAATCTTTGACAAGGTCCCTCATGGCAGACTGGTATAGAAGGTGAAATCACATGGTATCAGCGGTGAGCTGACAAGTTGGAACCAGAACTGGTTTAGTCATAGGAGATAGAGGGTAGCAGTGGAATGCTTTTCAGGATGGAGGGCTGTGACTAGTGGTGTCCAACAGGGGTCAGTGCTGGGACCTCTGCTGTTCATGATCTACATAAATGATTTGGAGGAAAACAAAACTGGTCTAATTAGCAGGTTTGCGGATGATACAAAGTTTGGTGGAGTTGCAGATAGTGAGGAGAATTGTCAGAGGATACAGCAGGATGTAGATCAGTTGGAGACATGGGCAGAAAAATAGCAGATGGAGTTTAATCCAGACAAATGTGAGGTGATGCATTTTGGAAGGTCAAGTACAGGTGGAAATTATACAGTGAATGGTAGAACCCTTAGGGGTATTGATATGCAGAGGGATCAGTGTGCAGGTCCACACATCACTGAAGGTGGCAGTGCAGGTAGATAAGGTAGTAAAAAAGGTCTGTGGCATGTATGTCTTCATTGGAAGGGGCATTGAGTATAAGGATAGGCAAGTTATACTTCAGCTTTATAGAACTTTAGTTACGCCACACTTGGAATATTTCATACAGTTCTGGTCACCACACTACCAGAAGGATGTGGATGTTTTGGAGAGGGTACAGAAAGGGTTTACCAGAATGTTGCCTGCTAAGGGGGATTTTAGCTGTGAAGAAAGGTTGGAAAGACTGAGTTTGGTTTTCAGTGGAACAGAGAAGGTTGAGGGGCGACCTGATAGAAATTTATAAGATTGTGACTGGCATGGATAGAGTGGAAAGTATGAGGCTTTTTCCCAGGGTGGAGAGGTCAATTACTAAAGGACACAGGTTCAAGGTGTGAGGTGTTAAAAGAGATGTGCAAGGCACGTTTTTCACACAAAGGGCGGTGAGTGCCTGGAACGCGCTGCCAGAAGATGTGGTGGAAGCAGACACAGTAGCAGCATTCAGGAAGCCCCTGAATTAATACATGAATAGGAAGAGAGTAGAGGAATATGGATCCTGTAAGTGAAGACAGGAATATGGAAGGGCAAAATGTGTTGGTGCAGGCTTGGAGGGCCAAAGGGCATGTTCCTAGTCTGTATTGTTCTTTGTTCTTCGTGCATAAGGCATTCCAGTCAATGATTGTATTAAACGTCCAGAAGACAATTGATAAAGTTCTGGAAGTTTTTAATAGATATCAAATATCATGGAACTAGATACACGTTAGGTAGCAAAGCACATGGAATTATTATTAGTGTTATTCTGTTACTGTGTTGCATTTATATTTAATGAGATATGCTAATGGAGCAAATGTTCAACTGAATAAAGTTTAATTTCTGGTGAGGGATGTTTGCAGATCAAGAGATATTCTTAAATTTTGAGTTTTTCTGACAAGAAGACCTGTTGAATTAACACTGATGAAACCATGTTGAAATATCAGCTGTAGCATTGCATCCAATTCTGGGCATTGCACTTTAAGAAGGTTGTGAAGGCATTAAAAGAATGCAGAAAAGAGTCGCAAGAATGATTCCAGGGATAAACAAATTAGAGAAGTTAGGATTCTTTTCTTGGAGACGAGAAATTTGAGTGGAGATTTGATAGAAATATTCAAAACCTGAAGGACCTTGACAGTGTAGGTTTGGAGAAACCATTCCCAATTGTAAAACGATGGAGAAAAGTAGGATACAGATTTAAAGTAATTGACAAAACCAAAGCAATAGAAAGAATTTCCTAAGGCAATGAGTATGTAAAGTCTGGAATACAGTGCCTGAGTGTGTGGTGAAGGTAGGTTCAATTGAAGCATTCAAGAGAAAATTGGATGTTAGTTGAAAAGAAACAAATTGCAGGGTTACAGCAAGGAGACAAGACAATGGCACTAAGTGAAAGCTCAATCGGTGCAGGCATGATGGACCAGATGGAGAATACATATAATCATAACATGATTACAGCACAGAAGGAACCCATTCGGTCTGTCATGCGTGCACTGGGTCTGTGCATGAGTAGCTCACCTAATCCCCTGCCTTTTCCTCTGAGGTCTGCATGTTTTCTGTTTATACAATTATCTAATTCCCTTTAAAAGTTATGATTAAATCTGCATTAGCTATACTCTTCAGCAGTGCTTTCTAGATCCCAGGCACTTGCTGTCTAAATAGAAAAGTTTTTAAGCACCCACTTTTTGGTACATCTCTTTCTTCACAGTTGCAGTCTACTGACCAAGCTGTATAAATAATTGAAATGTCTCAATGGCTTTTGAGGCTTCTTGCCTTGCAAAAGTTACTGGAGGGACCACATTGAGAATATTATATAGTTTTGATAACTGTACTCCAGAAGGTATTGAGGGGAACAGAATTGGGCAATGTGGTTGATTCTGTAAATGAAGGATATCAATTGACGCAAACTTGGAGGTCTAAATTTATTTAGATTTATGCAGAAAATAACATAGTCCAGGTCTTGATCATATACAGGTAAGCATGCCTTTTGAATTGATGTGTCCAAAATTAAAGGACACAGACTTTAAGTGATCAAGGAACTTCAGATATTAAATAAATGTTTTCTTCAGAATATCTGTCTAAACATCTGTCTAAACACATTGCCCATAATAACAGTTGATACTACACAAGTGAAATTTTTTGTGACATGAATAATACCCTATGGAGAGTAAGATCAAAGGCTGTAATGATGCGTATTTTAATGACTGAGAGTAAATCGAGAATACAATGGATTATGTACTGCTGTGTTGACGTCACAAATTAAAAGCGAGAATAGGCCATTCAACCCCGGAGCCTGCTCAGACATTCACTAACATGGCTGATCTGATTGTACTCCTATCTGTATGCTCCTGCCTACTGCCAGTAAGCTTTGACTGCCTTGTTAATCAAGAATTTTGCTACCTTGGTCTTAAAAATACTCAAATGATCCTGCCTCCTCTCTGCGCAAGAGAATTCTAAAGATTCCAAAATCGCAGGAATAAAATCGTCTCTGTATTACGTGCAAAACACCTTATTTTTTAAACTGTGTGCCCTAGCTCTATTCTCTATCATAATTGGAAATTGGTTTGATTATCAGTGAAACAGAGATGGATGAATATTTTTGGGTTATTGTTCATTCACCTGGTAAGGTCGAAGAATTCTTACAGAACATTTCAGGATATTAAGTGAATGGACTAACATTTATGATGAGATAAACTGAAAGGTCTTCAAACGTAGGCTTAAAAAGGCATTGTGTTTTTCACTTAAGCAGTACTCTAACAGCATTTCTAATTTTGGGAAAATTCTATTCAAAATGTGGATGTGGCAATGACTTTCCATAATCTGCAATTTCTAGAAGGATTTTACTGCCAAATGTCAAGCAACAATGCATTAATTTCAGTTAAATTAAACTTTTATTGTGTATTTATAAATTCAGTGAGGGTACATTGCTTTTCATTAAAATCATAAACTAGTAATTAACAATGAGAAATAAAAATTACATCACAAAAATCTGACATTAAATATGTTGTTTAAAAAAATCTATTTCATGGTAGTATATTTGGACAATCGGATATAATAAAGATGTAAATCACAATTCCAACTGAGGTTACTTAAAATTTATGAAGATCCCTAGGGGGAGAAAATGATCTAAAGAGTGATAGAGGCATGGATAGAAAATAACATCACCTAATACAAATAATTGATGGTAGAAGTTATAAAAATGGCAACACCATTTTAAATAATTATGACTGAATTGTAAATTAGACTGGAATCACTAGCTTAAATTGAGATATATATTTTGATGATGTATTTGTTATAAAACATCGTGCTAACTAAGGTTGATTTTGCTTCGGTCACGAACTTGCACTGTTAATTACTTCTTTAAGCAGTACCAAGACTTACTTCCACTGGATAATGGTCACTAACTGTGAGTGTCTGTAAAAATAAAAACGGCAAATTGTGATTTCAGCCTCTGCTCTCTCTTAGTTGATTACATCCACCCTGGCTTCTCCTATTGGGAAGTTGGGTGTGTAGAAGTGTAGATTTTAATATTACTCTGGCTAATTGGTACTGCCTTTTCAAGGAAGGCAAATTTATCAGAAATAAATGGTCCTTTATTCTGAGATAGAACAGTTAACTGCACCGTCAGACATTTTCATTTAATAACTTAGATGACGATTGATGAAGCTTGCTTGACAGAGTGTTTGAGGTCAAATCACAGTCAAAGTTGGAAGTTAACATTAGTCAGACTGAAGGAGCGTTTGATGTACTGTAACCAGATCTCTCAAGGCATTAGATAATGGTTAGATCATGGTTAACAGAGAGGCTATGTTATCAGGTGCAGATATATGTTGAAAGCAATGTCTGATGCTTTGTCTTAATTATGTAATTTGGTAAATGGGTAATCATATGTTTACAAATATCCCAATAAGCAAAGTTCCTCTATACAAGCAATCTTTTAGAACCATTTCACTAAATGTGAAATCACATGAGGAAAATCAGCATACTGAGCATTTCCAGGTGATTTTGATTTCATGAATACATCAAATTTGTTCTGAACCATTGCTGTGAATTTGACAGATACCACAATAGAACCTATTCTGTAAAGTTCTACAGACTGCCATAACTGATACTTATAGTACATGTTTGTATATCTAAACTTACCATTTTAGTGTTGAGACTGAAAACTTTAGTGAAATTATAAATACCAACTGATCCATCAATTACAGCGTTTTTCATATCTGAGCCAACAGCTATGATTCTGGAAAGGAGACGAAATATATTCATGACATAATGGAAATGAATGTCACAAAATGTACTTCATAGACCTGGTCTGTCATTGCGGAGAGTTCTAATTTGGCTTGTGCTGCATTTTTTTCCCGGGAACTTCACTTGAAGCAACCTTTGAAGTGTTAAGTGCTTGTAAGAAATTTCTTTTTTTTAATGCAGTACCTTTTACAACCTCAGGACACCCCAAAGTGCTTGACAACCAATTAAGTACTTTTAAAGGTCTATGTGGAAATTGTAGGAAAAGACGTATGAGCAGAGGTCAGCATACAAGATGAAACAGCAACAGTTCAAGAACATATCAATAAAATACCTGCTAAAATCTCGTAGGAATAATAAAATTGTTAAATTTTCTGAAGAGAAGCCAGCAACCAAATCTGTGATGCGTCAAAAGGTGTCAACAATACACCATCAGTTTAGATGATTAGGATGGAGATAGTTACTGAAGGAAGAGTTCTGTACATAAATGCAATACTCTTACAATATAATATCAACAAGAACCACCAATTTTTATCTATTACAGAAAGTGTTATTTGTGTTCCATTACATGCTGCAATGCAGAGGGGCAGAAGATATAGATCAGTTGATGTCATAGAACCTTGAATGGTAAATGTACATGAGGCTGCTCGAGTCCCTTGGTGTCTTCCTCTGTGGTCAAAGCCAGCAGGATTAAAATAGGAGATTGATGGAATAGAGAGAGAAATTCAGCTGTTTCAATTTTTCTGCTTGCCTGTTGTCTGAGAAAAGATTAGTGAAGATAAATGTAGGTCCCTTACAGTCAGAAACAGAGGAAGTTATAATGGAGAACAAAGTGCTGGCAGACTAAACAAACACATTCTTTGGTTCTGTCTTCACAAAGGAGGATACAAATCACCTTCCAAAAATATTAGGAACATGGAGTCTCATGAGAGGGAGGAATTGAAGGGAATCAGTATTCTAGGCCATAGAAAGCTGTTGAGGACAAAACATTCACTGTTTTCAAGAAGGAGCTAGGTGTGGCTCCTGGGGCTAAAGGGATCGAAGAGTGTGAAGAGAAAGCGGGAACGGAGTATGGAGTTGCATGATCAGCTATGATCATATTGAATGGCTGAGGAGGCTCAGAGAGCTGAATGGCCTACTCCTCCTATTTTCTATGTTTCTGCTCCAGTCTTGAGAATTAATGAACTTACAGTGACTGTGTTTTAATAATCTTTGGTGATATACTAACCTTCATGTTTAACAATGCTAAATTTTAGATAGCATCATAAGCACATCGTACTAAATCATTGAAAATAACAGTGAATGAGGAAGAAAATGCTTTGGATGACAGGATGTGCAAGATAATAATTCCATTGTCATGGTATATTGTATAACTAGTGATGTAACAAAATATTATTGTAAGAATTATCTTTTACCTGTCATAAGCACAGTTTGTAGTGATGGCGAAGTAGTATCTGCAGAATCCGGAATAAGCCATTGGAACTGGCTGTCCTTGCGTAGGCGAATATGAGCCCAGTCAGTTGGTTTAACATAAGAAAAATCTGCATTTAGATCACCCATGATCAGCATGTTCTGTTTAGGCCATAAGTGAAGATACATTATTTAAATGCTTGACAATTAAAACAGTAAATCTTCTGTCGTTGATATCTCCATGTTTTGTTGCTTACGTCAGTTCCCAACCTTGTCCTGGCATCAAGAAAGACATCGTACAGGGCATCTATTTCCTCTACTGCTGATGGAGGTGATGTGTGCTGTGGCATGATAATGAAGTCAGGAATGTCTGAAGAAAGAAAAAGGATACAGAGGGGAAACATAAATAAAGTACATGTAAGACAGAACATTTAATCATCTTCACTTTGCAGTTGAAAGAAAATATCACCATTTTCTTTGAAGTTTTGACAGGAATCACAATAAAGGAAATAATTAATCAGATTCCCTGTGTTTAAAATAAACTTCTGAATGTATAATTTGAAGTAACATTTTGAAAAATAAAATAATCTTTACCCCATCTCGTTTACTGGGATTATTCAGACTGGTGTTCCGCAGACAACATGCCCTGCAGTTTCTGCAAGGTTGTACTTTTCTTAGCACAGTTCACCAGAAATTGACTAAACCAGCTTGAAAGGTGGATAAATTTGAATGCCAATTGTGCCTAGTACAAAAGATGTTCATGCAATCTTTTGCATTAGTTTGTTTTTAATTCATGTAGTTAAATGGGCCTGCATGCAAAACTGTCTATGCTCCCAGATCAAATTAATCCTCATGATTTTCAGTTGTTGCACCCACTTCATGTGCTTTGCAGATGCTCTTAAAATTAAACTACTTTTATGGGTTCAGGAGGCTCTAACTAAAAGCTTAATGTTATGAAAAAAACTGAGAAATTGACCACTGGATACAATGAAACTAGCATATGATCCGGGATTACTTTTAAACCTCATTTTCAAAATGAATATGTTTAAATTCAGTTTCCCAAAGAAAGTGAAGGAGACATTGACTAAAGATTTATGTATCAACACTAATTTAATAACTGTGTTAAATAAATTCATAAATTTAATACTAACTATTCAAGGAAATTTTTTAGAAGTTCTAAAATGTTGCCTGATTGCACTGATCTGTGACAGATTTTACCTTCAGCAATGTAAAAATTAGAATGGAGCCATAAATAACAAAATCGCTGTGAAAGCAAACACAATTTTGACAGTACTTTGTACTTGGATTGCCAAAGTGCCTAAAGTGAAAACTCTTGGCCTGTCTCTCCAACCATACTAGATATAAGGTTTGCAGCTACCAAAACATTCTACAGAGGAGAACTTACTTTCCCTAACTTTGTGCTGCAGTACTGAAATACTTTACCTGAATAGCGTGAAGAAAATTTCACAAGAAATGGTTCCCGACTGAAAATGTCATGACCAGTCTTCTCAGAACCATCATTGTAGAGATAACTGTTGACTACAGACACTACTGAATTTCTGTTCAAATGAGAACAGTTGTCATTACGTAGGCATGTGAAGAAATGTTTGTATTTCAATGAAAACAACTTTCCAAAATAACTTTCTGGTTAAACATAGTCATGACTGTACCTGTACACAAAGAGATATCTTTCTTTATAGGTACTGCGTCCGAGTGGATCACTGACAGTGTACGAGTAGGTTTGTTTAGAGGAACTGGAGAAGTATCAAGAAGTTAAATTACATGCAGAGAAAGCTTAAAGTTAGAAAGATCTTACACAAGTGTAGATTAATTAAGTTACATCACCGGAGTTCGTTGTGATTAATTCAACAGGTACTATTCAAAAAGCAAACTTCAAAAGAAATCAAACCTGTAATGGATGGTTCCCATGTATATGACCAGTAAATGTGATGGTTAAATTATTAAATCAAATAATAAGGAATCAAAAAGTGGCAAAGTGAATGAAATCATCACATTTCTTTTGGAAAACATTAGTTTGCTGATTAGTATTATCATGGAGTCGCCACAACTTGCATGTGTTGGCAGGTGAATCAACTGCCTTCTTTTTCAGTGTAATGGCTCTGATGGCCGGGGTTCAAGTCCTCCCTGCTTCAGAGATGTGAAATAGCATCTCTCAACAGGTTGGTTAGAAGTAAAAATTAAGATAACAGCTCCAAACCGCTCTTGTGGTACAGTGCTAATGTTCCTACTTCTGAGTCAAGTGACTTGGATTCAAGTCCCACCTACTCTAGAAGTGTGTCATAACATCTCTGCACAGGTTGCTGCTCCACAGGTGTGTAATCACGTCTCTGCACAGGTTGGGGTAGAAAATATCTGTAACAGCTCTGACAACCCATAACAGGATTCAGTCTCAGATACTTGCCAAGGAGAAGGATAGAGTAAGCGATTAAGGAAAGAAGTGTGAGGCACAGACTATAGACCAGTGGCTTCAGCCTTTACAATGCCTGAAAAAAGTTGGCTGATCTGGCACTGGATGTTGAACAAACAGTCCAATGAGTTACAGAATTATTACAGTGCATAAAGAAGCCAGTCAGCTCATCGTACCTGCACCTGCGATAGTGTTAGGGTTAGGGTTATGGCACTATTTCCTAGTGCCATTTTCCTGCCTTTTCTCCATATCACTGCATGCTATTTCTATTCAAATAATTGTATGAGTCCCTCTTGAATGCCTTTAGAGGCAATGAATAGGTCGATAGAGGTGACAGTGAGGTAAAAGTGGATGTCTTCAGTCTAAATGTGTTAACTGGCTTGGTGTTTTTGCTATAACAAGGTGTAGAGCTGGATGAACCCAGCAGGCCAAGCAGCATCAGAGGAGCAGGAAGGCTGATGTTTCGGGCCTAGACCCTTCTTCAGAAATGTTTTTGATGTTAGCAAGGCAGCATGGAGATAATAAATAAGTGGTCAGAGCAGATCTTTGGAGGACCAGAATAAATATGTGGCAAGAGGAACTATTGGAGTTGATTCTCTGCCAATGACAGGATAAATGAGAATGGAACTGACAGATTGCAGTCTCATCCAACGGGACAACAGAGGAGGGGCATTGGAGGGAAGTGTTTTGATCAAACTTGACAAAGTCTGCATACAGGTAAAGAAGGATAGTGAAGGGTAATTTAGCTTTGCTGCAGTTATGTAGGATAATGTTTGTAAGCTTGATAAGCATTGTTTTAATACCATTGTGGACACGTGATTGAATAGATGAAAACATTAAATTCCAGGAAAGATGAGCCACAAATTTGGGAGGAAACAACACTTTCTAGAGCTCTGGACGGGAAAGGGAGTTTGAAGATGGGGCAGTGATTCACAAGAATGAAAGAGTCAAGATTTCTTCTGAGGAAATGTGTGAGTACATCAGATATGAAGGTGAGGGAGTTAGTGTATCAAAGTACTAGATGACTATACCTATTGAGTTTGTTCATTAAGGTCCTGACAGCATTCAAGTCAGCATCACGGACTTCTTGTATTAGGATAGTGTCGTACCTTCGAACAAGCTACAAAGAAATAAAATGTAGAAATTTAATTCATTTGGCATCGCGCAAGAAGAATTGTATTCATGACTCAGCCATATATTTAGAAATGAAACCTGTTTCTTGCACTTTTTTTCCTAAACTAAAAGGGGAATCAATCTTCATTGAAATGATTATACTTTGTTGGCGCATTTTATCACCTTCTAGAAAGTTCTGCAAAATTACTCCATGTTTTTCTCAGTACAAAAGGCAAAATGTGTGTTCTTATTTTCTAATTGCAGGGCTGAGAGAATGAAATGATAGATAAGCCAGCAATAAGCTGAAACTTGCACTTTGTCTTTCTGTGCTCCTAACTTTTCCTCTTCAATGACAGAAAACAGGTTTCTATAACGGTGTTGCTATTTAAGATGTCATTCCTAACTTACAAAGAAAGATGAGGCAGATTCCTATGGGTGAATTGAAATGATCAGGAAAGAATGAACTCATCTGCTGAATTGAATTGATTCAAAGATAATTTAATATCTAACAGACAATCTGTACAAAATGGATTTTCCTAATATAGTTAACTTTAATTGGCTGAATGTTGCTGTTGGTGGATAGCAGATGCCAGGGTGTATAATCTCCAGCTGAGTACAAATGCAAACATTCCCCGAACAATTCTGTAATGTATTGCACTGCTGAAGCAGCAAGTTAGCCAAGGTATTTTTAAAATCAAGTAATACGGTGAAAAGTTCAAACCTGTTGCTCAACTTTACCTTTCATCTTACTTCATTAAATAAGTATGAAGAAAATCTGAACAGACCAAGAAATTAACACAACTATTTATTTTTTTACTACAAAGTGCATCAGCAGATAATATATTTGCTATTTGTAGGTTGGATTGTGGTTCACAATCTATTAATAATTCAGATTTCTTCCATGAGAAAAGTTAAATTATCCATAATTGAGGGATTTTGAATTCAGAGGAATAGGAGTCCCCTTTGATTATAACTTCTAAACCCTGAATTGGAGCTCAAGGCCATTAAATTCCCAGCTGCTGGGAATAGCAGTGTTAGTGAATTGGAAAATACATGTTTTTTTCCATTCTTAATTTGCTATTGTCTCCCGTTGTCCAGGCTTCATTCCCATGACCATGGCTCGACTAGTTACATTACTGTGAAATATTTAGGAAGTATGGCACGAGCGCTGTTGTAGACAGACCATCACTGACTATGATTCTGCTAGTAAAGCTAAAAAGTCATTTAGAACAAATTATTAAAGTACAAAAATGGTGAGACTCACCTAATAATATCTAAAAACAGAAAACAACCACCTGGTTTTAATTAGGAACTTTATCATCTGTGTTTACAGATATGTAACCTTCAGTCCATTTTTTGTTTACTTATTAAACTTTATTTTAAGAATTAGCTTTAACTACATCTGTTGGCAAGCAGCTATATGTTTCCAACAGTCTGAGTAAAAGTACCCTGCTAATCTGCAGTTACACATGTATCGCATTAATTTTATACCAGTATCTGCTAACTTGTTGCTCATAGCCAACATCTTTACAAATATGTTACAATTTTAAAGATATGGATGGTTTGTGCTTAATGCGTTCCTCATGTTTATAGTTAATTTCATTTTAAACCACAAATGTCAATTTTGAAATGCATTACTAATCAAAATGGAGAGTATGGGGAAAGTAAGGGGATGTGAGGGGCTCTTTTTGATTTTTGTTACATCTGGGGTGAAATCCAGGAACACTGCGGTGGGCCTTTAAGCCAGCCCTTGAAACCCTTGTAGCTGCTTTTGCACTATCTTTGGGGTCAAAGGGCCAGATTCCAGCTGTTCACCTCCCTCCAACCAGAAGAAAATCCTGCAGCCCCAGCAGACCTTCTCCCAAGTTGGGTTTGTGGAGTTTGGATCTTTTCTGACTCAATAGTGAAAATTGGATTTATGCCGGTAATTAGAGCTATATTTATGCATAAAGTGCTTGAGGGATAATATAATTTGCCACTAAGTTACTTATTGCACATTCTCCCCCTGTCTGCATAGGTTTCCTCTTGATGCTCTGGTTTCCTCCCACAGATCAAAGATGTGCAGGTGAGGTGGTTTGGCCACGGTAAATGAAGGGTTACAGGACTAGGGTAGGGAGGGTGGGTCTGAGTGCGATACTGGTCAGAGGGTCAGTTTGGACTTGATGGGCTGAATGGGTCTGCTTCCACACTTTTGGGATCTATGTTGTGCTGTATTTTTTACAAGATCGCTGTAGGTGTAATCACATAATAATAGTGTGCTAATAAATAACAGATTAGAAATAGATCTAAACTTGGAAGTAAATATCTCCAAAGCCCATCACACAAAGTTAATTGCTGCAAAAAGTTCTTAAGGGAAATAAGCATCAAACAGTCAAATAAGAACATCGTAGTGAGACTAGAACAACTCCCAAAATCAGAAGTGCAAATCAAATGCCCAATAGCAACAATAAGCAACATTCACAAAATATAAAAATTTATTGTGAGATTTCAGGTGATTGTTTTATTTAGAAATTGAAGTTAATTCTCAAGGCCTGTAATATATGACACCACCATAGTTAAAAGAAGATAAAGTAACTCAGGAAAAAGTGAAGCCAGGCTTTACTTTTACAAGTGTGAAGCATGTGAGAAGAAGTTAACATGAGTGGAGCAAAGAATATTATGGTTTTAAAAGACATTGAAACGAAGTTTGAACTGTATGTGGGGATTTTAAGTTGAATGTGATGAACATGTAAAACAGTATATTTCGACCTTGGAAGAAGCAATAGAATAAGATATCGATTGGCACCGATCAAAATACTACCAATAAAATAGAGAAAGATTCAAATGGTTGTGATTAAGATGTTGAACATAAAGAAGAAGGATCTTGGACAGCAAACTTTATCTTGTATTTTGTCTGGAAATGACTGCATGTCACCAGATAAAGCTTTCTGGCTAAAGAAAAGATATTCAAATCTTTTACATATTTAAGCTTTACAGAGAGTTGAGAATTAAAGAGGAAAATAGAAATGTTTAGCATGAAAAGGGAAATGATTTTGTGAAGGCCATTTTTACTTTTTCACCAATTATCTTTGAAAATTACCACTAGTTCAGATGGTGAATCTTCTTTGCAGGATTTCAGTGGTACCCGATGTTGACAAAAGATCATCAAATTGAAACATTGTCATGATTTTGATAAAATATGGATTATCAATTTTTGACTTCCATCATTTGGTATTAATACCTGGGACTTTCATGAACTGAAATGGTTTTAGAAAGGAAAAACAATTGTTTGAAATGGAATCACCTGACCACAGATTGAGCTGATTTTCATGAAACCATCAAAAAACAACAATCAGTCAGAACTGAAACAATATTTTCATCAAAAGAGACTGAATCTAGTCAGACATAAAGGAACCTGTATTGCCTGTTGGGATTTACACCTGTATGATATGTTTCACATATTTGAGATGAAAAACATCACCTGCAATTATCCAGTTTGGAGATAATGAACTCAGACATAAGAACACACAAATCAGTTGTATTTCAGGAAAATTCTTATGGCAGCGCAAAGAGCTGGGTTTGTGACCTGAAACTGGAAAGGTTCTACTATTGGCTGATCGAGAATGATTGATTCACCCCTTCTGATCTGGTTGTGACAATATTAACTGTTCCTGTCTCCACAGCTGCTCCCTAACCTGATAAACAGTTTCAGTAGTTATTGATTCTGGTTCAGTCATTTTGACTGTGCTCTAAATTTTGAATGATACCTACATTTAATTTTTTACTGTGATACTTACATTAACAATGATGTTAGCGATGGTGGCATTTGACATTTTGCTGTCTCCAAAGGCTTTAATGTTGAAAGCAGAAATTTTAATTGAGTTGACTGTATTCAGTGCATAGGCCAGGATTAAGACTGTGATTAACTGATTCATAGCTGGCAAACTGCAGAGGAGAAATTTGTATATTAGAGTCAACACAACACAATGTCCATTGCTATGCTAATGTAGTTGTAAAGTATTCAAAATAATTCATAGTACCTGACTGTAGCTCCTGGTCCTTGTGGTACTAACAATTTGCTTGCAATGGAACAATTATGCTAACTTTTATTATGACCGTTGTCCTTCAAATGTCCCAGTACGCATTTGGAAACCTCATAAAATAGCAACCCCTGTTTTGGAAATTTTGGAAAATTAGACTGTAAGTAAAAAGCAAAATCTGATAAGTGTGTAAATTTAACATATGTGTCCAAACCCAATCATAATGCAAATACTATAGGCTACAAATTGCTTAGTCTGGTTTATGGAAGCAACTCATAATTTGCAACCTGCCCATGCTGGTTCCACTGGAGATGGGCATCAGGTAAGTTTTGTACTGAAACCTCATTACTCTTCTTGTAGTGTGGGACCAAGTGTCTGGTGTACTGCCAGTGGCCTGACCACCCAATAGGAAACATAACAGTGCAAAAAGGTAGCATGTGATACAGTTAGCATTCAGCTCTTAAAAGCAGACAATCCCTCTTAAAGAAAAGCTGTAGAACTGAACAGAAGATTGACAGAAAATAATTTTGAAGTAAAAAAGATCGAGAAAAATGACACCCGACATCAAGGAGAAGATTCTAAGGTTTATTGAAAGTGCACAAGATGTACTAGCAACTCAGTTGGTGCACAGGACAGAGTCCATGTTTCAAAGGAAGACCAGAAGACCTCATGCAGGAGCCACCAAAGAGAGTGAGCGCACATGACAAGTTAAGTGAGTACCTGAAATAAAAGCAGAAGGTGCTGGAGAAGCTCATCAAGTCTGACAGCATCTATAGAGAAAAAGAAAGGCTAACATTTCAAGTCCAGTGATCCTTTGTCAGAATACCTGAAGTCTGGTTTGAAGTCCACCTGTTGCAATGCAGCAAGATGTTTAGTAATGTTGCACGTATGGCTAAGTACAGTGAAATAACAGCCCCGACCTACAATAACATTAACTTCACAGTGCAGAACTACTGGCACATGTACTCATATTTAAACTTCAGATATGCCACCTCACCTTCATACTATTCTAGTGTTGTCAGTTCCACATCTACCCCTCACTGTGCAAAAACCTCCACGTCTCCAGTTATTTACCTATAGCAGGCATTTCAGCTGAAGGTGTACAATACAAGCAAGGACATTCTGATCCCTCTCTTGTTGGACGTGGTTGCCACCAAATCTTAGAAATCAAGAGATGTGGTGGAGCTTGGCACAAAATCATTTCCTGAGCCTTCTTCAGGAAGTCTCTAGAATCAAGGGACTGATAGTAAGACAGTCTGTGGTATCCAAGGCCACCGTACAGTTAGTACTGGCTTATGACCCTTCCCAATTCTCTCCTCATCCTCATCCCAAGAGCTAGCATAAAGTGAAATCTTAAACAGTATGACCAAGGCTGTTTTGCTTCCCCACAAACACCACACCACAACCTCCTTTTCCTACTGCTCCATCCTGCTTTTATGCTTTCAGATACATCAGCACTGCTGCCTGGACAGTCCCAACACAGCTAAGAGGAATAGAAAACCCTTGGCAGTGGGAGGAGGCTCTAGTATTTGATCTCATGATGCCAGCCACCAGATCGGATGCTGTTACTGTATGAACTTTATCATGTATTCTAGACTCAGGTCCTCATGAAATGAGGCACCATATATGTGTAGGCTTGTTGCAAAGTTGGGTAGAGTACTTGTGGATTGGGAGGCAGAAAGTTAGAACTTGGTGTTTGTAATATGCCGGGGCGGGGGGTGGGGGAGGGCGGAGTGGGGGGATGTGGCGGGGGGGGTGGTGCAGAGGAGTGCATGGTCCCTTTAAAAGATTATGTTCTTTTCCTATGCTTAGAGATTCAAAAACGATGATGTGGGCAGCAGCCTGTGGGTTTGCAGGTGCACAGAGAGCACCTAAATTGAAACATTTGTATCAAAAGGCCTTACAGTTAGCAGGTCAAGCAGCAATTTTGTTCTGATACCAAGACAACAGTTTTGAATTTAGCCAATCAATTTGAACCATGCACTCAGATAACAAAAGCCAATTAAATTTAAGTCTGATAGTTTTGACAACATAGGACCAATCCTGTTGTAAGAAATTGATATGTCATCAAGGGTATAAAAGATGGGGGCAGTTGGGCAAAGACAGAGGAACGAAGTGCCATCTGCTAGAGATAACTGCTCTCAGCTCTGAGAGAAAGCACCACCTATTCACAACAGTACCACGGCACCTAGCTAAGATTCCTGACAGAAGAATTCACAGAGAAAGCATTCCTGACTGTAGAATTCATAGAGAAAGCGTTCCTGACAAAACATTTGACGGGGAAGGGATTCCTGGCAGAACATTCAATGGAGAAGGCACAGAGTATTCCAGAAGACGTGTAATCTGGCTGTAATTTTGAGAGACTAAATTCTTTTATATGTGTGGGACTTATATATATTGGAACAGCATACCATTAGAATCTTGTTTTATTCAGGAATAGTTAGAAGGGGGTTTATTCAGCTTGTTAATAGTTTAGTTAATTTATTCACTGTTAGAGTTAGATAAACAAATTGTTACTTGTTGACTGTAAAGTGAGTGTCAGGGATTTATTTTATTTAACCACTAGAAGTTGCTGAGAGGCAGGTTACACCACCTTTCACACCCCTTTTACAGATTATAGGGTGAAGTGCTCCTCTTTGGGTGTTTTGCTTTTAGTTTTCAGAGGAGGGTCAACCTCCACTTTATAACAAGACTTCAACCAGACGAGGGGATGGGTAGCTCATGTGCCAAATTGCCAGAAGATGAGATTACAGGTGAATTCTGCTGTAGGGCACTGCAGATGTTGATGGAGGCAACGTGCACAAGATCACTGATGAAAATGCACAAGATGTTCAGTGTGTTGGCATAACTGACAGCCTCCTCTCACTGTCAAGCAGTATGGTTCCATTATGGCACTAGGCTTTGGGCAGAGCTTGGGGCTCCCTTTTTCCATTGTAAGGGTTGGCCAACTCCTTGTCAGCACTTAAACTCAGTGCTGATACATTATCTACTCCAAAACCTTAGATACATTATCTAGTAGCTAAAATCACTGCTTTCACAGCAGCACAGACAGTAGCCTCACAATGTCTAGGTCATGTAGTGTGGTCATGAGATTCTTCCTTAGTATCAAGCTGAGCTTTCTGCTGTACAGACACAGACTACTGTCATCATTCATGAGGATCAGCTCCCAGACAGGCTAGTAAGCTTCCATTTCAGTCTAGCAATCTGTGCTTCAACAGATTCCTAGGATTGTTGAGGTCTTGCCCTGTGCACATGACAGTGGCTCTATAGGGAACAAATCTGCTGTCCATTCTCAAGATGACAGCATTGGTATTCCTATCACTCCATTGATGCCCTCTCTGTTGCCTCTTAGACAGCCAGTCCAGGCTGCTGCTACCCATGTGGAATTGGTGCAATCTAAAGTCAAGCCCATGAACTACTCAATGCTTTTAGCAAGGCCATCTGCAACCATCTCCATGCACAAGGGTAAATAGCTCATTTTAGTGTGTATAATTGGATGTGTGCTTGAAGTAAGATTTTGTGTGAAAGTTTCACTTTATGACTTTTAGTCTTGGGTAGGGGCCAAGAATGATAAGTGTCACAGCTGGCTGTGCTAGTAGGAAATAGTGGGTCATGCTAGTCTGAAGAAATTGTCTCCCTGGATGTGAACCTTCATAAAACTCTCGCCAACAACCTGTCCTGTTTCATGTGATTCAAGATGCATCTCACTGTGTCCTTTGATCCTCCTTGACTTCCTTTTGATGTGGCCTCTGGTTCCCAGGAAGTAAGGTTTGCACTCATTATGGTGAGATAGTAGAGAATGCCACAAACCGAGAGACCCTCTGGACTGTACAGCAGTACTCTGTCGAGCAATCTAAGCAGTGGAACAATTGTTTAAGAAGGATGATCACCTGGACAATGTTGTTCTGACTGATCCTGTTGTTCACATTGGATGCCAAGTACACTCATATGGCAAATAACAGATGGTCGTCATTAGCTGTGTATGTTGTGACAATACTTTGGCTTTAAGAGGTGTATTTTGTCCTGATTTTTCTCTATGAAGAAGGGTTGAGATAGAGATGTCGAGCGGTCTGCTCAAAGCCAGTGAAGTAAACAGCTTGTGAGGCCTTGGGTTTCTTCTTATGCAAAACACACTTTATTTTTATACTACTGTTAAAATACGGACAAAATAAAAATAAAAGAATTAGCTTAGCTGTAACTCTATCGAAATGTTTAACAAAATAATATATATATTAACTACTACTAATTGACTATTCCAAAAATGGCAATACATAAACACACCCTTGGCAATGGCAAATTCAATAAAATAGATTGTCTCATATGCAATTCCAGTAGCAGGAAGAGAAGCCCAGCTTCCATCTGTAACAGAGGAATAAGAGCTTCCACATCCAGCTTTAAGACTCCAGAAACTGCAGAAAGCTAAATCCAAAAATCCTGGTTCTGTGGGAGTTTGACTTCACCTATTCAGGCTGCTTCTATTGTTCCAACTTTAAAACAAAAACAACCATTTCTAAAACTCTCTCAGTGCAAGCAACTTCATCGTATCACTTGAGGAATTATCTCTCCCATACTGGTTTAAAAAAAAAGTCATGGGCTCAGCAATACTGATACGTTAATCATTAAAATCTAAAACCTAAAATAAATGATATTAATACATATACAAATCACATACCTTAAACCATACCTCTCTCTAAAGAGGTTGCTATTAATGTCACATATTGAAATAATACTAAGATATTTTTTGCAAGATAATGAAAATGCATCTGTAAGTATGTTAGAGAAGCATTTTCATTATCTTGCAAAAATTATCTTATTATTATTTCTCTGATGCTGCTTGGTCTGCTGTGCTCCTTTAGCTCCACACTGTGTTATCTCTGACTCCAGCATTGGCAGTTCTTACT